AAAGAAATACCGTTTCTGTATTTTCCAAATCAGAATAAAGCTAATCAAGAGTTTATGACCATGCCAAAGAGAAAGAGGAATAGAGTGTAGTTAGAAGTTTGCTCTGGAAAACATAAAGGCTGTCCGGGACATGATTTATTTTACTGCTTCTTAATTAAGTGGCAGGAAGAATCTATGTTATTAAAGATAATTTTACTGTAGAATTCTATTTAGATATCAGGATTCTAGAACCATGTGAAATGGAGCAGGAGACCTGGAAGGAATCAGAAAAGCCACTGAGAGGTGATTGGCTCTTCATTCTACATTCTGCATGGCAGAGGGTCACCCTGTAGGACCACCTCACCCAGAGGACTGTTAATGAAGCAGGCAGAAGTCGTCAAAGCCTAAGTGAGGGAAGTCACAATGGGAAGCTCTGAGAAGTGACAGCTTCCTTCTTTAGGCAGAACTGGAGAATTCCAGAAGCATAGTTTTAGACTGTGTTTGGCATAGAGTAAAACAGCAGACTTTTATATTTGAATGTACTCTGGGAATGTCAGCACACCACATCAAAGTACAAAAATGGATCATCATGAGGATTTTTAGTCTAGAACAGATTAAATCAGATTTGGCATATTTTGTTTTGATGTCTCTGCTTTACACTGCAGAAACATATGTGGTATATTTTAGAAAGATTTCTACATAGAAGTAGTTTAAAATAAAATATAATGGTAAATTTGTGTTTGGAAGGGTGAGCTTCAAGTATACAGAAAACCTCAATTTCCAATTCCAGGAGAAAGTAGGTTATTTCCTCCTAACTCTGGCCGCCACATTTGCAACTCTTACCATTTTTTTTTTTTGCCATTCATCATCCTTTCTTTCTACCTTTTGTTATAATACCTACAGACTTTCTTTTCCCATCATCCTAGGAGCTGCTCTTTTTGTGTTTCTTCTTTTTATGTTTCTGGTGCTGTGGTTCTGTACTTTGTCTACACACAGGTGTAGCTTTTTAGCCCTTCCCATGCACTTTCCCCTTTGATGGTCCTGGCTCTATAGGCATGCCTCTGTTAATGCTAATTTCAAATTGAAGTTACTTGCAAGCAAGCTCTGTCTCTTCCCATTAGACTTTGTAGTGCATCAAATTAGAGGATTTGTTTTGTCACCTGTGTTTCTCTAGTTCCTCAGGAGGTGTGTAGAACATTGAAAGTTCTTGTAAACACCTGAGTGAACCTCTTGACCTTTTAAAAGGGTTTTGGTTTGTTATTTTTAATGCCAGTTCTTATGTACACAGTCTCTCTCTTACACACAGACACACACACACACACACACACACACACACACACACACTACCCTAATTCTCCTTTGTTAATTTCTTCACTTTTTCTCTGGAGTCAAGATAGAATGGAGAATTATGTGGCTGAAGATATAGAGAAGTTTGAGGTGGAGAAACCAGAATTTGTAGGCACACTCCAAGTTGGACATTCTTTTATCTGGAATCAGGAATTAAGATCATCTGAGGGAAGGGCAAGTACCTGTAGAGATTTCAGAAAGATACAAAAGTTCCCAGTGGCAGTTAGGTGGGACAGAAATAGCATTGAGTCTCCAGCCACTTAGATGGAGTTTTCAGTGGACAAGGAAGCTAGCATTGCTCAGTAGCCCAAGGAGGGAGGAAAGTGCTGAAGAGAAGACCAACCCAAGACAGAAGGTAAGTCCATAGAATGCAGGTGTCTTAGTCCATTTGGTTGCTATAAAGAAATGCCTGAGGCTAGGTAATATATAAAGCAAAGAGGTTTGTTTGGCTCATGGTTCTGCAGGTTGTACAAGAAACATGGCACCGGCATCTGCTTCTGGTGCCACTCATGCCAGGCATCACATGGTAAGAGGAAGAATGTGAGAGAGAGAAGGAAGGAAGGTGTCAGGCTCCTTTTAATAGTCAGTTCTCAAGGAGGAGACAAGAGTGAAAACTTATGCACTCTGGTGAGAATGGCATCAAGCCATCCTTGAGGAATCTGCCCCTATGACCCAAAACCTCCTGCCAGACCCCACTTCCAACATTGACGATCAAATTTCAACGTGGGACTTGAAAGACAAATATCCAAATTATCAGCAGGTGAGGGCATCCAGACTTTCTCTTAAGTATATCAGTTTATGCCTACTCTGGAAATATGAACTAATTATATAATTGTAAATAACTATATAAATATATAAATAATACATAAATATATACAATTATATAATTATTAAAATGTAATTATGGAAATCATTCTGTTTATTATTTTTCAAATGTAAATGTAAGTAGTTTTTAGATAATTTTTAGAATCACTTTTCACACAATTGGGGACTGACTGATACAGAAATGAGAACAACATATTACAAAACACACTGTGTTGCAGAGTGGCATCTACGCACATTGATGAAGGCATGGCCTTTGGCTGGAGTCCTGCAATTCTTGTCTATAGAAATTACTATCCTCAGCAGGATTTCCTTCTTACTGCAGAGGTTTAGACTATTACAGCAATTTTTGCTGTAGCAGCGCTTCTACAAAATATCCTCTAATTAACAGGAAGCTTGTGTATGAAGAGTTGTATATAATTTTCAAAGAGAATCTCATCAAATAGTGGCATTGTAAATTAATATTTTATGCTTGGTTCACTTTTTTCTTTGGAAAATAAACATACGAACTTGACAGAAAATGTAAAAACAATAAAATCCAACCACCCACATCTTTCATTCCATGGTTCTGCTAATGTTTTATTATGGCTTTACATCACTAAGTACTACAGGTTTTTTTTAAAAAAATGCAGGCTAAAAGTAGTTTGTTATACACATGTTGATGGAGAAAGTAGTTAGAGCCAGTTGCATCATATCAAACAGGAGAATAAATCAGCTACTAGGTATAAGCAGCCCTTCTGAAGCCACCCGACTGAGGCCCGTGAGGGTATAGATGTGATGTGTACATTGTCTTCATCCTCCAGAGGGGTTGATAGGAAAAGTCAGGGAAAGAGGCACAGACACATGAAACTGTTATTAAACACTGCCAAGCTATGTATTACTAAATGGTAGGTTGTGGTGACTGTGAGTATAATGGGAGTTTGGTGAAGGAGATGATTCTGGAGGGCAGTGGTTAACGTAAATCAGGGTTTCCCAGCCTTACCACTGTTGGCATTTTGGGCTAGATAATTCATTATTGTGGAGGCTGTTCTGTGCAATTTATGCTGTTTTAGCAACATCCTGGCTTCTACTCATCAGTGCCAGTAGTATCCTTCCCCCAAATCCCCTCAGCTATGACCACCAAAAATGTCTTCAGACATTGCCAAATGTCCCTTAGGAGGCAAAATCATCCCCATTAAGAACCACTGGGTAAGCTTGGTTGAGTGCAGTGTGGATTTGAGGCTGAGCTGCGAAGAATAAATAGAACTTGGGTAGGAAGTATGGACGGTATGGAGGTGATTTTAGCTGATAAGAACCTTTCAAATGAAGACTCAGAAGTGTGTTTGTACCAGGGCTATTCAAAGTGTTGTCCAGGGACCTGTGCTACCAGGGTAAGCACTGCAATTGAGGGAATCATTTAGAAACTTTTATAGCAACTTTACAGAGTATTTTTATCAACTATAATAAAACTTCAGGGTTATAGTTTATCTTTGTTATTTAATTTTTCTAGAAATTAGTTTCTTGTTTTATAAAAGTATCACTCTGCAACAGATTGGAACATTAGTATAAGAAGGACAGCAAACTGGTCCTTGGCCACCGAGACTTTGAGAGAGGCTATGACCAGACTGGGTTTCAGGTGCACAGTAGGACATAAGGTGGGCTAGGTATGGCCCAGATGGAGCATGGAACCACAGTGGTTTCTGACATCTCTCACAGTGCCTGACACATCTTAAGCCTGGTACTCAATAAATACTTTCAAGATGAGTCAATGCTTGGAAAACCTCCAAGCAGAGCAGAATGGACCTAGCAATAAGGAGGGGGGAACCCAGTGGGAATTTTGGGTTGGGGGTGACTTTTAGAAGGGTATATTAATGTATATTAATGTCATTTTGTCTGTCTCTCTGGTTTTAGCCTTTCAATCATCTGGTTCTCTCCATTTAGGAAACTTTTCTAATTGTTTTCTCTGGAACTATAATTATTCAAAGCTGTAATTTATGTATTTTAGACCTTACTATCAAATTATGTGTGCCCTGGCTGTTGGAATTTGTAAACAGTCTAACGTCTGGCATAAAGTAACTTTTGTGATTATTTGGCAGTAGTTATAGCTGTCCCTTAAGGAAATAAAAGAGAGTACGTTTTGGTTCATTTGCATTTTCTGTGAGTAGAAAAAGTCTGTGCCCTTGGCCCTGTTTTTATAGTGAAGTTAGTGGGTCCTGTGTCTGGATAAGAAGTAAAAAGTGAGATTGTGAAGGCTGATTGTTTAGCCTGTGGCCATGAGCCCTGTCTTGTCTTCTCTGAAAGCTTTGGGGAGCTTTAGTTTGCTGACACCCCACCTGTCACTTACTTTCCTGTTGCCCTTCATTTATTGTTTGAACATGCTTATTTAATATTCCATGCCTGATAATTTCAGTCTGAAATGTTTGTGGGATTCTTTTTGTCTCTTTACCATTTTTGCAGCTCTGGCTCATGATGCCTTATGTGTTCCCAGAATGCTTAATTTTTGAGTATTAACTGCTTCCTTGGTGATATCTCAAAAACAATTGCTTGAAATAATATGTGGAACTTTAGGCTTTGTATTTTCATTTGGGATGAAATTTATGGGATAACAGTTTTTAGTTATCCAACTCCTAAATTCGTATCATTTGGGAGAATGGGGAAGTAGACATTGGACTGCTTTATAGGAGATCTGGGTTCCAATCCTGAGTAGTGCTGCTTGTAGTAAAACCATCCCAATTAATAACCACTGGGTAGGCTCAGTTGAGTGCAGTGTGGATTTGGGGTTGGGGGTGGAAATGTGGTCTCACTTTGCCACCCAGGCTAGAATACAGTAGTGTATTCTACAGTACAGTACAGTACAGTACAGTACAGTACAGTAGCCTGAGTGCACTAAGGCTCTAAGTTAGGCCTTGTTTAAACAGGATGACTTAAATATTGAGAAGGCAGGAAGGCATTTAAAGAAAGGGGAATAGAAAACCAAAGAATTATCAGGGATAATTCACTATAGTGAGGAAGTAAGTTTAGGAAAGCAGAGGTGGGAGGAAATGACATGGAGAATTCACTTGGGACCAAGTTATGATGAGCCTCAAATGCTAGGTCTAGAGTGAGAACATTCTTCTGTAGTCAGAGGAAGCCCATGAAAGTGTTAGGCCAGTCAAGTGATATGGAAATGAAGTTTTAATATGCTAATAGATATAGAATAACCAGGAATGGTGTGTTATTCACAGTCCTCTCAGGAAAGATATAGCATATGGAAAAGAGTAATTGAGAGGAGCTTAAGAAAAGAGTGGGCATGAACACATGAAACCAACAAAGATTTGGAAAGCACCCCAGTGATTCCTGCTACAGGTTTTGGGATGGAAAATGGTCTGGCTGTTGGCCAGGGTGACTGAGCCATCTATGTCTCATTGTCTAGCTGGCTGGCTCAAGCTTCTTCACTTGGTGGTAGTCTCAGGGTTCTAATAGTGGTAAGAAGGAAAGCCCCAATTACTTTTCAGAACTCTATATCAGTCTTGCTAATCTATCAAGATTCAAGGAATGGAGAAGTAGACCCCATCTCTTGATGAGAATAGTTGCATTTCACAGTGTCAGGGTGTGGACGCACAGAGGTAGAGAATTTGTGAACACTTTTATAACCTGCTGTAGTATATGAAAGAAGAAATAATTTTTTATTATTCCAAATCTTAAAAACATACTCCAAATCAATTGTCACATATTTTAACATAGCTGATATGAAGTACTGTGGCTTACAGTCCTATTTTATTTATTTTTGAAATGTGATTGTATTCACTGAAGTTTTGAGAAGGAAAGGTAAAAATATTTGGTGTGGTATTACCACACTGTGATTTATTTTTGCTGAAGATCAAGTGAATTTTCCAGTCCTTTCCAGTGAACAAATGGATGGAATTTGTGTGGGATTTTGTTTGACAATATGTCCATTGTAGCTCAGCGTTCAGAATCTTTGTTTTGATTTTTACAAATGCTGTTTTAGTCCCTGTTCTGTTTTCTTTTATCATGCCTTCTACTCCTTTATGGACAAACATCGATGGTAAACCCCCTAACTTCATATGCTGTCATTGTTCCATCTTGGTCACGATTTTGTTGTGTTTGCTAAGCCAAAGGTGAGCTGAATTAGACCCACTGAATAAATTTATGCTTCATCCTGGTTGTTCTTCTTGGCTATATTATTCTTGTACTCTCCCTATAAGCTTCAAGAGATTCAGGAGAAATGTTTTGATAGATGTTTCTTTGTCTTCCTCTTAGAGAACTTGATGTGCATCTGGACAAAAGGATGAAAGAGCAGGTGGGACTGGAAGTGTCTTGTACCTGCTTGAGGGGGGTGGTGTTAAGGTTTGATCCCGTTTACTTTCATTCCTCCCCAGTGCAGATATCTGATTCTATTATGGCTTGCCCTAGGGATCTATCTGAGAATACTGTAGCAATTCCTTCTTGTCTTACCTGGTTAATATCCTAGCAGGAAGGTACTTAAAGTTACACTTTAAGTAACTTATTACTTAATTCATTAAAAGTACAATTAATCTTATAAAGGAGGAATTAATGACACAGTGAAAATGTTTACAAGCAAAGATCTTGGGTCGTTTTGTTGTTGTTTGTGGGGGGGGTGTTGGGGATGTAGTCTCACCTTGCCACACAGGCTAGAATGCAGTAGTGCAATACCTGGGTGCTTTTGTCAGGGAAGATTTACCTGAGAGGATGACCTTAAAGCTGAGGGCGTAAGAGGGAGCATATGAGTTAGCTAGGTGAAGCTGGAAAGAGGTTTCATGTGCTGCTGACTACCTTATGGGAAGTTTGGATGCAGGAAGGATGATACAATTGAGCAGATGGAGGGAGACTGCATAGGGTTAGTATAGAGCAGTGGTCCCTTAAGCTTGATTCATGCATCACTTGGGAACTTGTTAGATCTGCAAATTTTTTTTTTTTTTAAACAGCTTTATCGAGATATGATTAGCATACCATACAGTTCACCTACTTAAACTATACAATTCAGTGGCTTTCAGGATATTTGCAGAATTGTCAGCTATCACTGCAATTTAAGAACATTTTTATTACTCCATAAAGAAATCTCACACCCCTTTAGCCATAGGTCCCCAGGCCTCCCACCTTTCTCGCTCCAGCCCTAGGCTACCACTAATCTACTTTTGGTTTATAGGGTCACCTATTCTAGACATTTCATACAACTGGAATCATATGATATGTGGTCCTTGATGACTGACTTCTTTTACTTAGCATGATCTCAGAGTTCATCCATGTTGTACATGTATCAGTACTTCATTTTTATGACTGGATAATGTTCCATTGTTTAAATATATGAAATGCAGATTCTTGAGCCCCATTCTAGTCTTTCTGAATCTGAAACTCTGGGGTGTATTCTCCCTTCAATAATCTGTGCTTTAACAAGCCCTCCAGGTGACCCAGATTCACCCAAGGGTGGAGATTCACCTGCAGAGGGATGGGAGGGGGGCAAGGAGTTGAAGAGTTGGGCACTTCTCATCACTGCCTGGACCCAGGTATGGACTTTTTCCTTCATCTTAAGGATAATGGGAAGTTACTGAAAGGTTTTTAAAGTAGGGATTAGAAACCATCTAATTTTTTTTTTTAATTCATTTTAGCTTTTCTGTGTAAAGTGGTTTAGGGGTAATCTGGCTAGAAAAAGATGTAGGAAGCTCTAGAGGAGACACGAGGGTTTAGCGTGGGCTAGTAGCAGTGAAAATGGAGAAATGTGGATGGGTTCAAGAAAAAATCTGAAAGCAGAGAGGTCATGACGTGATGGTTAATTGCATCATCAAGGCGAGTCAATGATGATGTCCAGGTTTCTAGATTAAGCTGGTGAGTGGGTGTTGGTGCCATCACTAAGATCTTCTGAATTTTCTGGTTTTCTGATTTACAAGTAAATCTTCGTCACCCATTCTTCCTTCTATAATCCATTATTCCAGGCAATTCCTAGAGGAAACATTGGATAACATTGAATATATACCATGTGGAAAATACTCTTGGAAAGACGTATCATAATGTAACCGGGTTTTTTTGGGGTGTTGGTGAGGCACAGCTCCCCTGAGAGAATGCTGTGGATTCTTGGTCTCCATTCTCTTAAGAGTAAGAGAAGGGACCACTGCAGGTGTGCTGTATGCCTATAAAAGTGAAATATCGGACCCAAGAGGTGTTGCAGAAAGGTAATTTTATTTAGGTAGAGAAAAGAGAAGAAAAGGAGAAGAAGAGAAAGACTTCCACGAAGAGTGTGGAAGGGGATTCCAGAGGGGAAAGAGAGCTCCCACTATGTGGTAGGGGATTCCAGAGAGCTGGAAATCCAGTGTGGGTGAAGGAGCAGGGGAATTTATCCTGGGAGAAACTCCCAAGTTCCTCTGGCCAAGGAAGAGACTTCCTTTAAACGTCCACTGGAGTCATTGACTCTTAGTTTCTTCCCATGCCCACAGAATTCAAATATAAACTGTTAAATCTCTTGGATGGAGAGAGATGGGAGGGGGTCATGGCGCTGGGAAATTCTTGCCCTTAAAACTATGCCCCCTTGGGGACCCGGTAAGGACACATCCCCTCAATAACATCAAGGACCATAGTACAGTTGATCTTTCCGTATTTGCAGGTTCCACATCCTTGGATTCAACCAACGTGGATGAAAAATATTCAGAAAAAAAGAACAATTCAACAATTTAAAAAACAATGCAGTGTAACTGCTATTTATATAGCATTCACATGGTATAAGGTATTATAAATAACCTAGAGGTGATTTAAAGTAAAAGGGAGATGTGTGTAGGCTGTATGCAAATACTATACCATTTTATATCAAGGACTTGAGCATCTTTGGATTTTGGTATGGGTACGGGGGAACTCCTGAAACTAATTACCCTCAGATACTGAGGAACAACTGTAACATAAATATGAATGTGTGTGCACACACACTGAAACTGTAGTAACTATATATTAAAGAATATACATGAAAAGGTGAGAAGTAAAGGTGTCAACAAATTGTTTAGACTTAGGAGTATGTGTACAAGTCTTTTGAAGCCTGATGAATTTGTGTAATTTAGAGAAAAGAGATGGAGTGTTTTGATGAGAGGAGAGAGAGGCTTGAGGTTGTAGCCAGTTCTGAAAGGAATGCAAAGCAAGGTTAGATTCCAGAGTTCTGAAGGTGAGATAAACATGGGAATGACTGATAAAGAGTAGGACCAGGAGACTACAGAACTTTTTTTTTTTTTTCTTAAGGGCTAATGAGGAGTATAAAATTCTGAAAAGGCAGTGATATGTGCTTGAGAAGAACACTCTTGTCTGCTTTTAGATGGGAGAAAGTAGGACAGTAAAGTAATTCTTGGAGGCATTGGCATTAGTGGGATAGAAAAGGGACTGTAGCAATGGGAGAAATAGGCAAGATATAAGGATTAGTAGAATTAATAGTATTTGGTAGCTAAAGGAGACAGTGAAGAAGTAAGAAAAGAAGATGACTTTGTGGTTACTAGGAAACCGAAGAGGATATGGCTCTGGTAGCTGATGGTGGAGGAGATGTAGAGAGAGAGGGCTGTGGAAGACACTGATTTTAGTCTTTTAACAGGAACAGGTAATTTCATGGAATTAAAACTTAAAACATAGTTTTGAGAAATAAAGTTATTAAACTTGAGGTAGCAGATTTTATAGACTTAATTATTATTATTATTTTTCGAGACGAGTTTCACTTTTGTTACCCAGGCTGGAGTGCAATGGCATGATCTCGGCTCACTGCAGCCTCTGCTTCCTGGGTTCAAGCAATTCTCCTGCCTGAGTCTCCTGAGTAGCTAGGATTATAGGCACCTGCCACCAAACCTAGCTAATTAATTTTTTAAATTTTAATTCAGTTCTAGTATTATCCTACTTAGCTATTTTAAAATCATACAAATAATTAAAAGCAAATATTGTTTCATTAATGTATGATCTAGAATATGAAGGGAATTGACTAACCTATTCAGAAAATACAGTTCCCAGTCAGAAAATATGTACAGATAATAATTGGTTAGTGGTGGATTAGATTTGATTTCAAGCTAAAAGGTAAAAGGTAATAAGCTAATAGTTAGAAGCATCCAGCCACTGGCAGAGTAGTAGTAACCCCTCTTTGATCTGTTCAAAAATATTCCTTTAAACTCAAGAACAGTAGACTGTAAATTCTGACACCTGCCCAAGTTTCAGTTAAGGAACTAAATGAAGTGATTGGATTTAATGTTGAGCTCTTAATTTAGCATGCCAGGCACAGCTCTTAGAACTTTATGAACATTAATGACATTTAAATTTCATTGCAGTTCTCTATGCTGAATTATTATCTGTGTTTTACAGATGAGGAAACGAAGGCTTTGGTAGAATAAGTAAGTTGGTCGAGGTGACACAGACCCACCCCTTTTTGACTGTTCGGGACTAGAACACAAATCAAAGCCAACTGACCCAACTGAGGATCAGGCTGCTGCCTTTGGTGCCACTGTCACCATGTTCAGTCCAGCAGAGCCACATGTTCACAGACCAACCAATATTGACTGATTAAAAAGAAAAACAAAGTTAAAAGTACTAATTCAAGCTTAATAATGTTTATTTGTTTAATACAAATATATGCCTATGTAGTAAGTGCCAGGGACTGTGCTAGTGATACATAGATGGAAAACCACAGCCTTTTCTATTGTTAAAATTATATTGTTTTAATTTATAATATGTACTAACAGTTTTTCAAAAATTGCCTTTTATTTTATAATCTTTTTGACACTGATTCTCTAAAACTCAAGCTTCAATCTTTTGTAAGTCAGCTTCTTTATCCTTGGCTTGGTAACGTGGTAGTTGCTTTCTAGTAAGATAAACTGAAGTAGAAACTGGAGACGCTGTACTTTATAGTCTCACGTTTAGTTAAACAGCATGGGAACATTGCCAGTTAGCAGATGGCTTCTTGGGGATTACTCTAAACCCCTGCCCTACTCCCCAACAATGAGGCATACTGCTGAGGGTTTCGGTTAGGAATGTGTTTATCTGCCAGTAACAGAGAGCCTGTCTAACTTGAGCTTACACAGAGATGTTTCAGTCTCTCCTGGAAAGTAGGGTCTGCCTTGTTGGGATTCTCTTGGCCTTTTCTGATGCCTGTCACCTCAAGGTGGAAAGGCTGCCCCACACCTTTAGCCCTCACATCTGGCTGTCAAGCTGGAAGAATGAGGATGGGCAGGGACCAGGGACCCTAGCATTGTAATCTGTCGACTTCAGCTGGAAAGCCAAGCTCTATCCAGAAGCTCTACCTAGCACACTTGGGCGCAAACCTCACTGGCCATA